TTACATCAGACCAGAGAAGTGCTTAGTCTCTGCTATTTAACTGCATACACCTTGCTCAGCATCCAGAATTGGAGGCATGCCTGGAATACCAGTTTGGTGCCTGGATGCCCTGCCTACTTTCCCTGTCTGATCACATTCCTCCCCTCTCCTTCCCTTGACTCTGTTATCCAGCCCACTGTCCAGGTTTCTGCTACTCTAGATGAATTTCCCAAGAGGCAATTCCTGCCAGTGGGGTTCCCAGATCCACTGCCTGGATTCCCTGGTGTCATTCCTGCCTGCCACATGCAACCCCCTCTGGCATTGTGACTCAGCTGGCATAGCATAGCAGGGGGCTCTTAAAACCAGGTCAGTTACATAGGCCCCCATCACTCTGTCCCTGGCTTTAGTGCAGAGTCTGGGCCAAGTCCCAGGACAGACAGCCACATGCCTTGTATAGCCTGATATAGCCACCTACAACCCACACTGCCGTGACTTTGCGCCTTGTGCCTGCGAACTCATTCCTGAATTCTGGCAGAGATCAGAAATTACCTACAAATTTTCAGCAGAAAGCTGGTATCAAGATTCGGTGTGGAACAAAGAGGGTCATCACTATGCTATGTAACAAACCAGCATGGCCACTTCAATTTTGCCTTTTTCTCAGTAGCCAAATGTGCTGCATTCCCCAGCTGCCCTAGCTGTTAGGTGTGCTCATATGAATACATTACCTTCCATACGATTCAGGTGATAACAGATACTTGCTACTTCTATCCGGGCCCTTAACATCTCCCTCATGCACACCTCCAGGCCATTTCCCCTTCCTCTGGGCTGGAATCATGACAGCAATCATGCTACTACTAGAGACAGCAGAGCCACAAAAAACCTGAGCCCCTGAATGACTGTGTGGACCTGAGTTGTTCAGAACCAGAACACCCATCTTGGATGTTACAAGGGAGAAGATGAACTTCTACTGTGTTTTAACTATTGCCTTTTTTGTCCATTTATTGCAGAAGTTTAATCTATCTTAGCTGATAAAATTGGCCCCGACAATTGCTGGTGGCACACACTAAGCTCTCTGCTGAGATATTTTACTAATCATGCTATTAATGCTAATGCCAACTAATGACTGCTGTGACTAGGCACTGTGTTAGTGACTTAGTATTGTTTTTATTCCTCACAACATCTGATGGATATGCAGCATAATGCCCAACTTTTGAATGAAGAAAGTGAATCTCAGAGGAGCTGTGTAGCTTACTGAAATCACACAGCTGGCTTGTGCCAGAGTTTATGCTCATCCCACTATGTCAACATTGTAATGATAGGAAAATGAATTGCAGGTCAAATATTTCTTATGCTTATTTTTTGGCAGAGTAATGAGTCCTATAGTTTTCACAATTGCTACTTGCCATATTCTGTCTTATTTTTTCTTGTTTTAATATTATAAAAATATATGTAGCTACTCTGCACCTAAAATAGAACAGTACAGCAACCAGTTCCTCTACTTAGAAACAGGTTAGAACTGTTTCAACAGGTTTCGTGTAAGTCTGTCTGTTCAAAAGTCCAAGATGACTTTGAAAGGATCGGGCTTGCAGTCTCTGAATACATTTCCACTACAAGGGATGTAAGCTTTAAACACAGGCCCATGCTCCCTTTCCTCAACAATATAAGATCTGTAAGGCATCATTTTGCAAAAAAGGACCAGTTTCTTCTACATTGAAAATTAGGAGGCAGGTAACCTCTTCAGGTACTGTAGGTAATGCTCCAACCACGCTAGCTGCACTCCCAGCCTCTCTATTGGTTTCAGAAGGACCCGGACCTGTGCAACTAGCAGAGCTTTGGACCAAGGGTTTGTCAGTAGCACCTCCACCATGCTCAGCCTTCATGCTTTTGAACAAACTGTTAGTTGTTTCCCGAATTAGCATCAAGCTAATAGGCATTTGACGCTGCTCCTCTAACACACATATTCCAAAGTATTGTCTACTTCATCAAGCATTTTGGTTTCAGAAGGACCCGGACCTGTGCAACTAGCAGAGCTTTGGACCAAGGGTTTGTCAGTAGCACCTCCACCATGCTCAGCCTTCATGCTTTTGAACAAACTGTTAGTTGTTTCCCGAATTAGCATCAGGCTAATAGGCATTTGACGCTGCTCCTCTAACACACATATTCCAAAGTGTTATCTACTTCATCAAGCATTTCTGCCCCCCCATCACTTGCCTATTACTGTCATTTGCATGAATGTAAACCTTTAAATATATTGCATGAGTTATTCTTAGAATTATTCCTTCAACTGGACCATTCATCTATACATTCATACAACATGTCTTCTCGCCACTTGCTTTTAATATCTTGATTTTTTTATATCATCGTCAGATTCCTTCTCTTACTAGCACTTTCAATATACTCACTGCTTTTGCACCTATCAGATATGATGGGTTATTAATATTCTTAAAATAACTCAATAACTTAAGCACAGACACATGAACCAGACAATGAAAAGGACGTGATGCCAGTGACTAAAGGTCCACAGTGACTGTCAGCACCATCTACTGGAACCGGTCAGAGGTGACATCCTTTCTTTGACGTTTTAGGTTTTGTTTTCAGGTACTAAAGCTCAAAGTTGGTTCTTAAGTAGAAGAGTTTTAGCATAAGCAATTGATTAGTTTAACAACCAGCCCAGAGAGCAATACTTCTACATGTTTGAAACATATTGTACACTCTAAAACTAGTGACACATACTAGGAATCACATTTATAAAAATACTAATTTTCAAAGTGAACCAAAAATTGCCATTATTCCAAAGCATTAAACTCATATAAAGAACTCGATCAAGACTTATGTAGAGCATTTCATTCAAGTACACTTACATGTTCCACAAATCCACAAAATACATAGAGTATAATGTAATAGATGAGAATAGTGTGATCCAAAAAAGATTTCCTTTATTAAAAAAACAGCCAGATTAGTGCCTCAAAAGTAGTTATTTATGACACAAAAGTAATTATTTATGACACCAATACGAGAGGGAGACAACCCCAACACCATTATTTCTCTGAGTGCTCCCAGAATAAGGATGAAGAGGCTTCTTGACGAGCGTACCATGCCCTCTCTGAAGCATCCATATGATGCTGTGTTCCAGTGATCTTTAGTTATTCCTATTTGTAACACAAGAAAGGGAAGAAAACTACCCATCTACTTTCATAATTTTTGCTTACAAAGCACTTTCAAGTTCAATACGTCATTTGACCTTCATATCAACCCCATAAGGGTGTCAAAGCAGGTACTGTAATAGGGAAGCAGAGACTGAAACGCATGTCCTCTCCATGTCTATAGCTTGCTTGTTCTGTAGGGTCTCCCAAAGTGAACGTATGTCTGCTCTCACGCATGCAAACCACTATAGTCACCTCCCATCTGCTACATTTCAGGGACTTCAGTAGCCGCTGAAACTCTATGAGTAGAGGTAAAGCAATCTTATTTGCTTCAGATTTGTTTCACTTAAAAATAAAAACTGAATAATGCTGTAATGAACAAAGGCATTATTTGTAATAACTAAAAATGTAAACAACCTAAATGTCCTTTGATAGATGATTAGATAAAGATGATGTGGTACATATATACAACGGAATACAAGTCAGCCATAAAAAGGATGAAATATTGCCATCTGTAACAACATGGATGGCTCTTGAGTATTATGCTAAGTGAAATAAGTCAGAGGGAAAAGAACAAGAACTGTATAATTTTATTTGGATATAAAACAAAGAGCAACAAACAAACAAACAAACAAACAAAACAAACTCATAGATACAGACAACAGAATGGTGGTTACAAGAGGGGAAGGGGTGAAGGGAGAAAGAAGAGGGTAGAAGGGATCAAATACATGGTGAGGGAAGGAGACTAATCTTGGGGGTGGTGATCATACAATAGATTATACAGATACGGTATTACAAAGTTGTACACCTGAAATTTATATTATTAACCAATGTTACCCCAATCAATTTAATAAAAGTTACCACATAATATTTAGGAAAAGCTCCAAAAAATAAAGAGAAAACTTGAAAGTCAATGACACCAGAAGCTAGTGGACTTCCTGCGGACAGCAAGACAGAATATGGTCCTCTCTAATCAGCGCAGACTCAGCTAAATCTGGGAGTGGACCCCATCCGCATTGACTGAAGGATAGTGTATAGTGGATAGTGGATAGTGTGTATATATATATATATATGTATGTATGTATGTGTATGTGTATATGTTTTTTTCATTACCATTAAATTTAGAAGTATGACAATTCAAATCCATATAAGCAACTGGGTTATCAAAAGGTGCTGCTAGCAACATTGATATTATATGGTTACAAATTACATTTTCCCCAGAGACTATGTGCCATATGAGAATTTTTCTAATTACACTTTTAAAACTGGTTTGAAAAAGTTTATTCTAGCTTCTAAGTTAATATTCACTCTGTTTAAGAGTAGGGCTATGCAATCAAACAAATGCCAAGCACCTTTAATTCCAAGAAAAGCAGAAAAATTAAAAAAACAAAACAACTTTAGCACTCAATTTT